CAGGTAGGGAAGGGAGGGGGGAAAGCAGGCAAAGGTAGGTGGAGGCGCTCCAGAATGGCCCCCATCACCACACCGCAAGGCCAAGCAAGGCTGCCCCCCCCTCCGTGCCCCAAGGTGCCCTAAGCCCTCGGCCTCCCCTTTGCTCTGAGGGGCCCAGAAGGTTGGGAGCTGCCAAGAGAGCACCTCATGATCCAGAAACTGAAGGGAAAGGGAAACACCCTGGCCGGGCCTGGTTCTCTCCTGAGTTGTTGTTTTTTCCCCTCCCCAAAGAGAGCACAAGCTCTAACGGGTCAGAGAGCAGAGCCAGGACCACGAGCCTGCCCATCCGCTTGCCTCAGTGGGCACGGAGCAAGCCGGCCCAGTCCCCAGAAGAGCTGGCTCCTGTTGCTCCGAGAGGTCCCCACGCTATTTTCTCCTGGCCCTGCACTCCTCACAAGAGGACAGGGCAGGAGGAGGGCCGTCTGGCCCGGAAGAAACGGCCCACACAGCCTTCCCTGCCATAAAAGCCCCCTGAATGGAGTCCTTTATGCAGCTGGACGGGGAGTCGCTGCTACGCCCACAACCGCAACCAGCCACGGCCGGAGGGGGCCAAGGGCCCGGGGGGGGGGGCTGGAGGAGCTCTTCTCACCTGAGGGAAAGGGCGGCCTCGGTCGCCCACACCTCCAGCGCAGCCGCCACCGCCACCCTGTGCGCCTGACAGGCCAGCTGGCCACTCACAAAGGGGACGTGTGTGCATTCTGAGGGCAGGCCATTCCTCCCCCCCGCCTGCCCCCCCCAGGCTGCACTCCCAGAGGACTGTCTCTGGAAGAAAAAGGAGCTGGAGAAGGTACAAGATGGCTAGGAGGAGAGGAGGAGGAGGAGCAGCGCGAGGTGGGGGGGTTGGGAAGGCCTTCCAGCAGCTCGGCCAAGAGTACAGAGATGGGGGCATACCTTTCCCCTTGGTCTGCTTCAGCAGGCTGGCGAGACTGACCGACGCCACGCCCAGCAGCTCATTCCGGAGGGTGTGGCAGCTCCACAGCTTCACGTCCAGCAGGGTCTGAGCCGTGACGTTCCTCGGAGGAGGGCAGGGGAGAAGGTGTGTAGGTGAAAAAGGTTGGGACACCTACGCAGGATCATGCCCAGCCTGCCCCCAACATGGCGCTCAACCAGAAACCAAACCCATAGAAAGCACCCCGTTAAGCAAGGTGTGGAAAGCTTAAACGGGTCCCGTTACAACGGCCACTGTATTCTCCAACTGCTCATCTCAGATCTTCATGAGATGGAGGAGGCACCTTGGCTGGTCCAGCAGGTCCTCCCTGGGCCCACCCAGCTGCATCCCCGTGAAGGCTTAAGCACCGGGGGAGTGGGGTACAGACCCAAGTAGGCCCTGCTGGCAGTTCAGATCGACACCCCCACCCCACCCCTGCTGCCACCTCCGGCTGTTCCCCAGAAACCCAAATACTTACAGCACGAGGCTCTCATTCCAGAGCAGCTCAGAGGTCCCTGCTTTCTTGGCGGTCTTCCTGGTCTCGCTGGCGAGCCCGTCTGCCGACACCTCCACAAAGGAAGTGATCCGAGACTGTCGGCCCCCGTGGGCCTTGGGTTTTGCTGACACCACTGGAAGGGGACAGAGAATCGAGGGACAGCTTTGCAGACTACTGGGGCGGGGGGGGGGCGCGCTTGTCATGAATTCACTGCATGCATGCTGCTTGCACCATGACGGGCGCGCCTAATCTCTGAGGGGGGTCTCCATGAGCGCCAAAGCCCAACGTGCAGAAAGGGCACATCCATCCTCGGAACATTTGGACTGCCTTACAAACAGCTGAACAGCCATGGTTTCCCTTCAAAGCAGCTGGGAACTGCAGCCGTTGGCAGATGCCAAGAACCCTCTCCCACCGCTCATCACCCCATTTCAAATCCAGTTTTATCATCTATGCACAACCCCCGAGATTCACACTTTAGAACTGGTGGGGGAAGCGGGTGTCGCCCCAGAAACCTGGAGGGTCTCCCATCACCACCCTACCACCCATTTTGTCTGGTCTTGCGAGTGAAGCAGGGCCGGCCCCGGAGAGTCCTCGGAGAGAAGACCACCAGGGCATCCTAAGGGCATCTCCGGGCAAGACAAGGGAAGAGTCCCGCCTGAATGAAGCTTTGGAGAGCCTTTGCTCCCAGTGAGACTGGGCAATACTGGCAACGGATGGTCCCAAAGGTCAGAGACAGGGAAAAGCAGCTCCCTCTCTTCCTACTTGGGACCCAGAAGCAAACCTCAGTTGCTGAAGTGCAAGCACTGGTGGGTTCCTAGAGACGCTTAAGATAATACAGTGAACGCAAGAGAATCCAGGAGGATTCTGATGGAAGAGCTAAGGGTTGGGAGCCCTCTGGCGGGCAAGGGGAGCGTTGCTTCCCCCACACCTGGCTGAGCAAGACTGGAAGGCGCTCTCCTCCTACCCAGGTCCTGGAGAAGTTCCTTTCTTGGAGTACAGTTCCCGCCCAGGCCCCCACTCAGACCCTCCGCACAGCCCTCCTGCTCCAGCCGCCAGAGCCTCCAGCACCAGGCGCCACCTGATGGGCTGGTGAGTGAGGGGCACAAGGAGGAGTCCATTTGGGGAGGAAACCAGAAGGGAGCTGATGAGTGCTAACAAGCCACCCAATGGCCTGTTGTTTCCATCTCAGCCAAAGGGCAAAAAAAGAACAACTTGGGCACCCTTGCTAATTTTTTTAACATTTATGACTTCGACAAAAGGGGGTTCCCATTGAAGCAACCATTAAACACCCACAAATATCTTTTCAGACACAATTCCAGAGGTGTGCAGGTAGTCAGGTTTGTGGAAGGCCTGGCCTGAAATGCTTCTTGGGTCACGGAAGGAAGCTTTGACCAAGCCCATCTAAAACCATCTCCTTCTTGACCTGGATCCAAAGGGTCCAAACTGGGTCAAAGTCCTTCCCTTTAGAAACAGGTGGGAAGGACGCAGACACCAAGAGACATGAAACAACACGCCCTTGCTGCTCCTGCGTTTAAAGCAACAAGCAAAATGTTTCTGCTCAACATGGGTCTTCTCCTAGTTCTGAGTAACTCAAGAACCTTCCGCCGCACATTCTGGACACTTCTGGAGGCCACACCTTAAAAGGATCTCCTTTGACATGCATCCACGCGAAACGAGCCAAACCTTTCCTTCATGCCGAACTACTCTTACGCAAAGCCCATCAAAGCTGACAGCCCCTGGACAGGCCAAAACCACATTCCGCCTTCAAGCCTCTCATGGGGCCACTACACCCCCACCCCCCTCAAAGCCCGGGGCTCACCTTTGACAGTCAGTGGAAACTTCTCTCCAGAGAGCCCTGCAGAGGCCATTTCATCATCAAGAAGAACCTGGGAGGTGGAGAAAAAGCCAAAGAATGACTGCCTGTCACCACCACAGACCTCTGACTCTGATGGCACGGCTGGAACGATCTGCACTGAGGGGATCGTGGGATAAGGGGGAAACACTCCTAAGCAGCAGTCAGAGTAAGAGTCACTCTACTGTGTGTTTCTCTCAGCTTTTCCCCTTGGGGGATAAATACCGAGAGCTTTTTCTCTTACCCAGAAGACGTTTCCAAGACCTCCTGGTGGAGGATTCTGGGAGGAGTCTGAGTTCCCCCTGCTTCCCGTTCTTGTCCTGGAATGGCGAGATGGGACTGGGGAGGGGGGCCCTTGGAACCCCGCACGGCACTACAGCTCGGGGAGTCCCCAAAAGGGAAACGTCGCCAGACCCACAAAGCCCGCGTCTTCACTGAACTCCCAAAGCCCGGGATTCCTCCCGCGCTCCAGAGCTTTGCCCAACAGGGTCTTCCTAAGGGCCTGGTGGGCTCAGCCACCCAAGTCCATGCTAAGCTTCAAAGGATGAGAAAAGGGTCTCTGTGGTGTGGGTGTGCTGGTCCTCACTGGACAGACACATACAGAGGGCAAACTTTGTTGGGGGGCAAGGCAAGCCTCGGACATGTTTACAAGCAAAAAGATAAGATCCTTCTCCCCTGCCTTCCTTCTACATATGGAAAACAAGACTGGCCCCTGAATCTGACTTCAACTCTAGCAGTGGAGCAGCGTGTTCTCCTACACCTGAAGGAACGCCTCATGGCACCCCGGAATCTCTGTCCTTCGACCCCTCAACTCCCAGCATCTGCTGCCTGAGGCCAAAGCCCCATCCTGCCTACTGATAGAGCTGGGTCTAGCTCGGGGAAGCGTTCGTTCAGCTAAGAGCAAGGGTGGCAGAGCTCGACCAACGCAGCCTCTGCCTCAGGCTTGAGTTGCCAAAACCCAAGGCGGTGCGTGCTTTAAGACTCAGAGTGACACCAGGAAGATCAGCGGAAGAAAGCTGGAAGCTCTCTCCTGGATGACTTGCTTCCTTCATGTTCAGCACCCACAAAAATCAAAAATAAAAATGGAATCCAGATTATTTTTGTGATTATGGATCTCTAAGAGCCACCAGCAGCACCAGAAAGGAGAGCCGGCTCCCAAAACACAGCAAAAGTCTAGCGACAGCCACATAACCTGCTCAGAAAAAATAATCTAACTAGACACGTACACACAGGGCAAGTTCTACTGAGGGCAAGACAAGCCCAGGACATTTTTACAAGCAACTAGATTCTTTCTGAGCTAATCATTAAAGCGTTGCCCTATCACACTCAGCCCTGGGTGACACGCAAGGTTCACTCTGCTCTCTTTTAGGCAGGGCCTGAGCCTGGATGGGCGACAGAGCAACCCCACACTTGGTTCAGGGTTAGCTGTATGTCTGAAGAGCCTGGGGGACCACCCTTGGCAGCTACAGAATGAAAACAAAACGAGCAAAAAGCCGACAGACACACGCCACGGGCAAAGACAGGAGTCCAAAAGTCCCAGACACCACAGCGCCAGGAAGGTGGCAAAAAACACTCAGCGGCTTCCATGACATGGCTGCACGGGGCGATCATCTGTCAGATGAGAATGCCCTCACTGCTTCCTGAAATAGCTTATTGCTTCTGGACTTCCTTGTGGGGATGTTGGTGATCTTTAAAAGATCACTAAAATTCCCCTACAAGAACTTCAAGATGTTTCTCAATACACACAAAAGTTTTATTTGTCTTCCTTTGTTCAAACAGTATTGCAATGATCACACCTACCCCTATAAACATTTAATTGTGGCAGCCAGTCATTCCAAAAGGCAAAACTGTTCTTATCCCTCTGCATAAGTCTAGCAAGCATGCGAAGAATTCCAGTTTCTGTGGCGGCTCTGAGCAGCAGTCAAAACAACACTCCAAGTGCCTGTGTGGGACGCTTAGACTCTAGACCAGCGGTTCCCAACCTTGAGTCATCCAGATGTTCTTGGACTGCAATTCCCAGAAGCTTTCCCCACTAGCTATGCTGAGCAGGGTTTCTGGGAGTTGTAGTCGAAGAACACCTGGGGATCCCAGGTTGGGAACCACTTCTTGAAAGAGATTCATGTTCCACACTTCAGGCACCTCCAGTATCTCTGCTCTGCAGCAGTCCATCAAACAGAAAAATACGGTATTTCCACTCCATTCATAGAAAAATGTTCCGAATTGCCCTTTCATTGAATGACAGCAGTGAGTTTTGTGTCACCTTAAAGCCTCCTCCCATTTTATCTGAAACCAGCATTGGTGAAGGCCTCTGAAGAAGTGGGCTGAAGTCCACGGCAGCCGATGCCACTGAACATATCCAAGGTGCCACAAAGCTGTTTTGTTGTTGCTGTTGTTGTTGTTTGGCTGCACCTCAACAAACAGAGGCGAACAGAAGTGTTTCTCTGCAAATTCTTTTCCCCAGCCAGTGTCCCTCAGGCGGGCCAGTCCCATCAAGAGCCAGCCCCTGAGGCAGCCCTCACGTCGCCAGAGGTTGAGTCTGGGGACTTTCTGGAAGCCAGAGAGGACCAGGAGGGACGGAGGGGGTGGGGGTGTCCAGTCTACTCAGGAGGGGCAGGGTTTGGTTGGGGGGGGAGGCTCCCTACAAAAGGCCCTTTTGCGGGGAACCCATTTTCCCCATCAGAGCGACGCTTGCCAGGGCGCCCCCCCCTTTTTTGGGGGGCTTCCTTTAGGTGCTTTCAGGGTGGTTTTGGCTTTAAGGTTTGCCAGCCACGGGGGCGGGAGCGGGAGCGAAGGCGCGCGTATTTTGCTTCCCACCTCAAGGCTGGGGTTGAAACCACGAGCCCCCACCCCACCCCCCGAATAAACCAAGGGAGCCCCATTCCTTCCCGGAGGATTTCCGCCTGCCTGCTTTTCTTTGGGGAGGGGGATCATTTTTTTCTTACATGACGGCAGAGGGAGGGAGGGAGGGGGGG